ATCCATAGACTTATTGCGCCAGAAACTCTACATGCCCATATTTGAATGGGAGGAGGCGGCGGAAAGTTCAAGTGCTGTGCGCGTGTCGAGCAAAAATGGTCGGATTTCGACATATTTTGAAGTCAGAAATATTATTGAAGCCCCAACCGTTTGGCATTGGCATTTACGGAAGCCAGGAGGTGGTGATAGAGGTATTTTTGGTGAGTCTTTAGAATTTTTGAGAACCGTTTTCACCTTACTATGCCAATATGTATGGGCGTGGAGCGTCAGTATAACGATCCCATCCAAAATCAAAAAAAGAGGAATACTAACACTCCATTCAGTAGAGCTACGACAGACATGACAGATCACTGATTGTGACCCGGATCCATGTGAATCAAACAGGCCCATGGCATAGGCCTATTAACAGTCATGACAGTGTAATTGAGATTAAGCCTAGTATGCACTCTGCCTCGCTCCATGTCTCTCTGCTGTTCCAGCATGTTCAAAAGTCGTGGACATAACACTGACATGACTGACACTGGAGCCGCAGCAAAGAACTCCATAGCCATGATACCAGTGATAGCTCTTGGGCCAGGGGTACAAAGCGTCAATGAGCATTTTTATATCAAAATAATGTGTTAACATATCCTACAATGTCCTATATATCACATGTCAACCAACTCTGCACATGACCAAATGACGCACAATGATGACAAACGACGTTGGAACATGAACATGTTTCATTAAATGATCACTATTTTCACGACTTTAGCCTATCTCGACGGTGTTATGTTTCAAAAACTCACCTCAAATGGCACAAGCTGTGTGGGGTTTACAGGGACCATTCTGTCATTTTATTTTGGCAAATGGGTTTTGCTCTGACAAACTTTTCAGACACTATTGTCTACGGTTTTCCCCGGAAATTGTAAGTCCCACCACCCCGTTTCAGTGTTAAAATGACGAAGCTATCCCCGTACTAATAACGCATAGCGCAAAAACCTTGTGCAGAGCGAGCCCAAAAGGTGCGTGTGTCCAACGTAATGTAAACCACATAATGTGGCTCAGTCAAGCCCAATTGGGCGCATACATATTTGTAAAAGTTCTGTTTGCAATTTAGTGGGGGGAAATCACCATTTATTTCCTCATAATTAAACAAAAAATTGAGTAAAATATAATGTCTGGTTTACATTATTTCACTGATTTTAGCAATACTTTTCGTTAAATTGAAGGAGCTACAACACATTACCGATTATGTCTAGTTTGAACAAGCCTAATCTGTTCTTGCCCTTTTGGTTCGAGACCCCGTCGTTCGCGATGAGGTAGTACTAGGAACGGTTGCAAAAATCCACTCAAATCAGCCCTGTAGTTTCATAAAATCGTTGAAAATATTACTTCACTTGTATTTAGGAATTTATTCGAAATCAAATCAGTATAAATTGAAGTGTCTCAAGTAATATGAATGGCAAGAGTTGCTTGATAGTTTTCACCAGGCTATCGCGACGTGGCTGTTAACCTTCATGTTAACATTCATAGACTATCGTCAGATCGTGGGAATAGGATGTCATGACCGCAACACATATGCAGTGATTAATAGGGGCCTGGTGTTGATATTGTCGCGAAATGTCAACATTTTCTTTCAGACATGTTCATAATTCCATCTCATTGATTCGATTGGGGCCATTATAGTTCGCCAAGCAAGTTTGCCATGTTTGAACATGTTGAACTGTCAATGGAATTCCTAAGTAGGTTGAACATGTTGAATATCACCTGCTGAATTATCCGAGGTCGGAGGACGTCTACTAGGCCTGCATTGCATTGCCACTAACGTCCAGGGTATGAAAGTCCTCCTACTACGCAAATTTTTTTCAACAGTTTTTCTCACATTTTTACCCGGTGAAGACAGCTCAAAATGTCATTCACAAGTGCCTATCCCCATGGCAATGCTGTGTTTAAGTTACTAAATACGCCCACGAACAATGTATTTTGCAGGAAAGTTTGTGAAACTCTACGCTTTCCATCGTGATTCGTGATCTACATGTATATTACACGTACGTCTAGCAGGGTACTCACGTGCATGAAATGCATGGTAACCAAGTGCCCCTTACGCATGCACGGAAGAGTCATGGGTGTGATGAAGTCGTAGGTACGGCCGTGTCCGAACGGGCTTCCAAAATATGGCTAGGTCTATAGTCTGCTGGTCTCCACATATTTGCAATGAAGCGAAGACCTAGACCTAGCTCTAGACAACATGCACAACTGACAGAATGTGGGTGCGCTCAGACTGAGCTTGGAGGCCATTTCGCGCATGCGCAAATGCATATCGCACGACCATAGGTCGTTAATGAATTTCAACGTAAAGCATAGAGTTTCGCAGAATTTCCTGCAAAATACGTTGGTCACGGGCGTATTTAGTAATTTCAACACAGCATTTATGGAATTCAGGATACAAGGAACTTGGGAACGACATTTTGAGCTGTCTTCGTCGGGTAAAACTGTGGGAAAAAACTGTTGAAAAAAATTTCGCATAGTAGGGCCTAGGAGGACTTTCATACCCTGGACATTAGTTGCAATGCAATGTAGACGTCGTTCAACATGGCCTATGTAACATAACCATTATCACCATGTACATGTAGCCTACACTGAGAACTCAAATTCACTACTCTGTCATCAGGCCTATTTCATGTGAAATACTTCAATCCAGTAGTTGACATGGAGTCGCAACACGCTAGGCCAGTGGGTGTTTTTAATTGAACTTTTTTGAGGTGAATGATCCAGCAGCTTAACACCTTATTTTCAATGAATATTCCTGTGCGCATGGTGAGAGTAAACTTGAGGTGGGCTCTTGAAATGCTCTGTGGGGGAGTTTCAAAGCATGTGTAGTTTTCAAAAAACTGAGATTTTTACTTGCCAATCGACGATCACACTGTTCATGATGTTTTTGTTTATTAGGCCGGCCACTTACCAAGTTTGCTGGCCGTTTCGGTTCAACCATTTTCGGAGGGGGGGGGGGATTTCTGAGATCTTGCAATCTGTCACAGCTACACAGTGCAGTGCATGTCCCAATGGTATCAGCTTACAGGTCACAGCATGCAAGGACGGTCGTACATTGAAAACAAAGATGTCATCCCTCTGCCACCAAAAATGGTTGAACAAAGATGCCGAGCAAGCCTTACCATTGGTCGGCCCGACACATGGGCAATTCGATAAACACAAACGGCATGAATGGTGCAATCATCAGGTGGAAACGAGAGATAGGTTAGTAAAAATCTCAGTTCGTGGTGATTATTTCTTATGTTAAAGGTTTCAACAATACCTTTTCTAATGCTACAGTAAAGTAACACGTGACACGCTGTATGAGGCTGTGGAGCAAGTCCTCAAGGGGAGCCAAGAAAAGAAACGGGGCTTCCTGGAGACTGTAGAGCTTCAGATCAACTTGAAGAACTATGACCCACAGAAGGACAAGCGATTCTCTGGCACTGTCAAGTATGGCGTCCCATCCTGCTCTGTGACCTGTCGACAGCAGCAGGGAGCATGCTGAGTGAAATCGCACAACGCTTTTTTTTTTTTGCAGGACCTACACCCAGGGTCGTTAAAACAACTGGGGAGGCATGTTTATGCCGACAAATCTAAAACCTCTGATGACCCAAACCCAGGGTCTTTAAAAAACTGGGGAGGCAGTTTTATGCCGACAAATTGATGATTAATGTTGAGGGCAAACGCCTTCATCGTAATGTAAGAGACAAAATAACATTAAGTATCACAGCATGATTTTGGAACAGTGTACTATCAACTGTATCTATTTCCCATTTGTTGGATAGCAAGCTTAAATCCCAGTACATGTAGTCATAAAAGGCAACAAATGTCGAGTTTCACTGGCAACGAAAGTACAATGCAGTAAGAGCTTGACAACCCATGGGGCACAGCTGTCTGATCTGTGATGAGGCAAGTTTGGCATGTATTATCAGAGAGAAAAAGCATGGTGAGCAAACTAATTCAAGTACTCTGAGGTCAGCAGTGCCAAAAAATTCATTACATTGAATTCTCCAACACTATGTGGTGTTTCCCAAACAAGCCCCCGTCTCTCGCACAGCCATTTATTGCATGGCCATTTCTCACCCAGGTTGAGGACCATTCCCCGGCCCAAGTACAAGGTTTGCGTCCTGGGCGACCAGCAGCACTGTGACGAGGCCAAGGCCAACAACATCCCTTGCATGGACGCAGAGGCCCTCAAGAAGCTCAACAAGAACAAGAAGCTTGTCAAGAAACTAGGTGAGGCGAGCGGAAAGTGGTACATGTATTGGTTTTTGCAGGATTGAAGATCTCATGCATTACAACTTGAATTGGAGCCTGCTATTTAGCAAATCTTTTGGAGCAAGTTGAAGCATAAAAATTAGCCCATTGACTTGCACACTGAGATAGATACTTGTTAAGGTTTTCAGCAAAAATGCCGAGGGATTACACTTCTAAAGGCTGTTTTGCTTGTTTTGTCCTATTTGGCTTTCTTTAGCCAAGAAGTATGATGCATTCCTGGCATCGGAGGCCCTCATCAAGCAGATCCCTCGTCTGCTGGGCCCCGGACTCAACAAGGCTGGCAAGTTCCCCTCTCTGGTCACCCACTCAGATCAGCTGGTCACCAAAGTGGAGGAAGTGAAAGCCACCATCAAGTTCCAAATGAAGAAGGTTTGTCTCAAGATATCAAAAAGGTTTTTCATATTGCAGATGTCATATTGCCATCAGTGGAACACCAAATGCCAAACAAGGGGAGGAAGTTCCTCTTGACTTGTTACTCGGGAGTATCATCAATTGAAAGCACATTGTGCAAATCAACCTTCCTCTGAAACGAACTTTCTTCGAAGTTTACATTTGTTCTTGAATAGTTTTAGAATAACATTAGACTTGCATGTTTTTGTTCTTATTCTCATCAACCAAACCAACACCCAACCGACTGGCGCTTGTCACCTCGTTTCCATTGCAGGTGCTGTGTCTGGCCGTGGCCATTGGTAACGTCTCCATGAGCGACGACGACCTGGTCAGCAACATCGCCTTGGGCATCAACTTCCTGGTCTCTCTGCTGAAGAAAAACTGGCAGAACGTGCGCTCGCTCTACATCAAGAGCACCATGGGAAAACCCCAGCAGATTTACTAAGACCACTACCCACATCCCCACTGGCAAATAACGTCTGCAGGAAAGTGGCTCCGACTGCTGAAGTAAACTTAGTAGTCATCAATTGCCACAGCCCCGACTTCTAGTTGATAACTATTGACTAGGTCTTGTCCTGTTTGATTTATCAGTGAAGGAAGTGAAAATGAAAACGTAATGTACATCATAAAACTCAAGTGAACGTCGTATTTTTGACATTTGTTTGTCTAAACTGTTCACCTGATAATCAGCAACCAAGGTATTTCCTCCACGATGATGGTTCATCCAAATTTGCAATAACTATGATGGCTTCACTTTAAAACTAGTGCATGACATATTCACGTAAATGACCAAGATGATATCCCTTATTTCATTACTTTTAATCATCAAATTTAATTCAGATTGTATTGAGAGAATATATCATGTACTGGTGCCCCACAAAAACACCCCAAGTCAACATGTACATGTACCACCAAGTTGAAACTGCTGGAGCTGAATAAAACAAATCGTGCAGAGATGAAAGCATCTGCGAGAATCGTCGTTCCATTTATGGCATCTTTTGTTCTGATTTGTTCAAAGTAATACGATGCTGATGAACAAATTACAAATTGTAACGGCCAACAGTATTAGATATTGAATGCATACAGTAGATGTTTTCGTATGGTCATCCTTTAATTGGCTGGGCCTATATACTGCAGGAATTAATTCTTCAAAATGCAGATCTTACTACACTGTAGTGCGCACCGACTATGTACGCGTACATGGTGTACTGTACACGGTGTAAATGTCGATTTTCACGGCCCCATCGATATCAGTGGGACTCTTAATAGTGTATTTCATGGTTGTGACAATGTCATCCAACTACATACATACATGTACAATATTGGCAACCTTTATCGGGTTGAAATAAATTGGCATTTTGCAAGTGCCAGGTATCCAATGAGACTTCTAATACATCATCCACCTTGAGCGGAAGCACCCCCTCATCGATTGAGAAGAGCTATGTTGGCAGGTAGTGTGTATATTTCGTTCGCAGCGACGCAACCGAAACGCGTGCATTTCATACTCGTTTGAGAACTAGCAAAGTGCAGTTCTTGCCTAAGAAGCCGCCGTTGCGGTGCTAGGAAAGTTGTGCCCTCTCTTTGCACAGCTCGGGGCTTATCGCGTAATTCGACATCCAGTATTAGAAGCCATTACTTATGAGGCACAACGCTCGTGGACAGGCGAGTACGCGCGCGCACACATGCATCTTCGACTAATTGGGTGTCGTGATTTGAAGAATGTAAGTGCGGTGCCACCCCAGTTATAGTGTCAATTCGGTCCAGTACACTAACCCAAATGAATGTTTATGCCGAGCCCAGTAGCAGTAAAAGCATGCCAACAGTTTCTTTTTAAAAAGGAGATTACTCAGCTGATCGATAAAATGGAGTGTTTGTGTAAATAGCCTATAAAGTGTAGGCGAGGATAAACTCCCTAAGTTTGGGGTTGCCATCCGAGTTGATAACGAGTTTCCTCCATGCATTATGGACGAAAACAGTCCCCATTGCCCACGGAAAAAGAGCGTATCCGTTTGAAGAATGGCTGCGAGCTGGCTTGGACACTACATGTATCTCTTTTCGAGGGGTGAGCTTGTTTTGTGTGAATACTTAAAAATGTAATTGGCTAACCCATCAAAAGCCGAAAAGAAATGGAAAGACTAGGGACAAAATGATATAAAGATATTTTGAGACACTCCAGTTATTTCGGCCTGCATGTTATTAAGCCCTGCACTTTGATGATTTTAAACAATGTATACTGTTTTCAAATTTGCTCTGCACCCTACCCTTTCTATTAACAGATTTCGTCAGAGCAGCTCTGTCGCTAGGCAATGGCGCCCTCATGCAGCGATTACAAAGCCACAGCGTCAACGCGATGCTCGCCAAAGTGGAGTCCCGCCCACTTGAAAGTTCAAGACTTCACCTCGCAATGGCAAACCACAGGCCAGTCCGAGCTTTTAGTATTTATGCAATCAGTCCCCCACACAAACTCTCACACACACACCACCACCACAACCAAGGCTTAAGTGTTCCCCCAGCTATTTGAACCTCGACAATTACGAACAATTGGTGACGTCGTACGCAATCTTTTTCCGAGTAGACTTTTGTGTGTATCATAATACAAAATGTAAAATGAATGATGTGAAACGTGGATAAAACTTGTCCTTGATGACTTGGGCCTTGGAAACTCAGAGACGGCAAATTGAGGGGACTTTGGCAACTCTAGAATCTCAAGTTCCCACCTGCAATGATGTGCACCTGTCCGTTGTTCAATCTTTGTACGCTGAAACAACAATCAACGAGACACCACCTGCTGTCAGAATATGTACACTTCTGTGAACACAAAAGAAACCGCCTTTCCCGCAGTCTTACTCTTGTGTAATTGGTAAGCCAAGAGAGGGGTGCAGTCTGGGTTGGGGAAAAAAGGAGAAAGAGGTATACTCAAATTGGCGCCTGAACTTTTGCGCCAAAAAGGGTCTGTCGAGTGGCATGTTGGAATCCCCTCCCCCCAAAGGTTGCTATTTCTTTTCTTTCTTTTTAAAATTGTTGTCGTACTAATACATTTCCACTGAAGGATTACCCTCACAGGACCGGCGATCCGAAAATTACTTAAAATTCTTCACGCTTTCTCAGACAAATTACGCATTGCTGCTGTGATGACATTCTACAGAAAACTTCCCCGGGGTTTTCTGTTCAACTTGCGAACCCACAAGTTCCTCCTTGAATATATTAGCGGAAAAAGAATTTGCTCACCGGGCCACTGTCAATGACTGAAACAATGAATACCAAGGGAAAATGGAAAATACTCAAATATCCAAAATACTAGAAAATTTCAGTGCTGGAATATTATACACTTGAAGTTTCTCTCAAAATGAAATCACACTCTTACTTATGAATATGCAAGTTTTTATTTGCATCCAAACCAGAAGGTGCTGAAAGTTACTTCAAAATGGAAAAAAAAAATTGAAACTAAGGTTAAATGAGATACAAAATGAAAAATGACATTATGGGGTTCCATGTCAACAATGATTATCGCTTGTTTATCCTTGGTCAAATAAAAAAATAAGCTCAATTTATCAAATAAGCCCACACGGCACTCCTGTACAGTGCATGTTCGTTAGAGAGAATAATGGAACCACAATTAAAGAAAATGTTAGTCTATGTTATAATGGTGAATGACTTTTTGGCCTCAAAATAATAGAAAAACCAGTCAAATGTACCGACCGAAATATAATGAAAAAAGGGGAACGGGTGATTTCTGGCAACCACCGAAAGTGCAGCGAAACTTCCAAGTAAAACGCTGAATGCTCATAAATTGGGAATGCCCACACGCAAGGCGGGAAGCGGTTATTGTATTCTGGTTGGCAGTTAAGTTTCTGCGAATAATTTTGTCTATAAATACCCTTAGTGAAAGCGTGCTATGTCAGCGATCTACCTCGGTTGCAATTTCCTCTGGTCGGTGCATTCAATCTGACAACGACCTCAACTGTTTACTGGGTATGGCAAGCGATTTTTTTCTGGACTCATCCATCACAGTGCGAACTGCCAACATCGCCACACAAAAGACGCGATAATGCCACACTTCAAACAAGGTGGGTGAAGCCACAAAGGAAATAGTTGGCATACCGCAAAATGGCTTGCGGAGCATCGTGCAATCGACATCAGGTATGTCGGGACCCTCCCACCCACGCGCCAGCGATTAAATCGAAGACCATAATTAATATACTACATTCTGGAGGGCAGAATTTTTTTAATGATTCTTAATAAATATCCATAGTGTAACTTCATTTAGAAAAATTGTATACCTCTGATGACTTGAACAGTTGCACGAAGAACTGACAGTATTTCTTGCTACCAACGTTTTGGTGCTGAAAATACAGATCGTGGGCAGTGGCACATGTGTGACTCCCCTTAGAGAAAGGGAACAACGTTCATGCTGTCCAGGAGTTACAACAACTTTGTTTAAAATCCAACCACTAGTTTGTTAATTAACTTTTGGATTTTTGCCCTGCCACCAGTTTGCATGGTATGTTTAAACTTTTGGGACAGAAATTGCTGAAGGTGTACCATAAAGTACAGCTGCGTGTGCGAGACTCGAGCCATTACGCTACATGCAGCACGTATGCGCGCAAGCTTTGGAATTATCCACTGCTTTGATTAGTCTGGCATGAAAAAGGGAAAAAGGCAAACCTTGCTTTTGTTATTCGGCATCACCCGTCAAAAAGAAGGGAATGTAAGATTTCAAAGACAGACTTTGTTGTGTGAGCGACGGTGCAGCGCGCGTGGGCACGCGAACATTGTACCCAAGTCCTTTCACAGGTGTTTTTCAAAACGATATTTACTACTGCTTAACCCCATTCCAGAGCCGAGTAGACCAAAAAGGCAATGTTCACTTTCAGTTCACATTATGTCACTCGAGAACATCCTTTGAAAAATTACTGAGTTTTGAGATACTGCATGAAGCGGTATTTGGGTCATTCCATGAGGTTGGGGCACAATTTGTGTCGGTGTTAATAATGTTACATGGGTTTAGTAACTACCCTGTGGATTCCAAATTGACACTGTTGTACATCTTGCAAGGCTAAATACAGAGGTGTGTGTTATTTTACCGAGTAAATGACCTAATCTACGGTCATGACAGGTGATAAAAGTTTTAGATGTAACAAATAAGGACACCGTCACAAATTGTGCCCCAACCTCATGGAATGACCCATTTACAGGAAACTCGGCATATACTTCATCTCTGCAATGAGTGCGAGTTTCACGGAGATAACCGTTAAATCGCGAGAGCGCAAGCCCCATCGCCTCTGGTGATTTCTAAAAACAGGAAAATTACACCCCTGTCACTGCACTGTTTTTTACCAACAGTTTCGTTTAAAATTTACTTCCTTCATGGCACCGCCTTTACAAGTAAAAGTGTCCAAAGTTTGTATGTCTTAAATTGAAAGAAAAACCTCCAATCAAAATTGTGCAAGCATTCTCTCTGTTAATGGAGGTGTTGGTGGGGGGAGGCGGTTCAAATCTCGTGTCTGATGAGTTAGTTAGGGATTCGTGGCGTGTCTTTGGCAAAATGTAATTCTTTAATCATGTTAAAGGAGTAGGATAACGCCTGGCAAACATTCAGCGAAATTCTGCTCGACTCAGCCCCCCCCCCTAAAAAAAGCCCGGCGTCTTCAGCACAGAATGACTATGTTCAGACAGTGTGTTAGCTAATGTGTACTTTGACAGTTTTATATCGGGTGGCTCAACCCAGTCGTAAGTGGTGAGCAAACTTGGATGTTGACAGACTTTGGGTTAGGGCTACCCAAAATAGACCCGCGCCCGATTACGATCTCTGATTGCTCAGGTCTTTATTCTACTTAGTCACCGAAAATAACTCCGCGAACAAGGCTTCTCCCTTTGTCGCACTTTGCCTCTTGTTTTCGCGCCCGTTGTGTCGCGCTCTCAAGGGCAGGTTGGGCATGGCGCCTGGCACGTGGTTGATATTGTGCCACTCTCACTGCAGATGGTG